GATAAAGGTCCTATTGTCAATAGACGTATAAAATCAAAAGCTGATGAGAAGGGGAAGGTGAATTTAAACTAATCACTCCAAATGATAATAAACACTTTTAAATCCTAAAATATGTAAAGGTAAGGGGTAAAAAAAAATTGAATGTGTTTTCTTTCTTTCCAAAAAAGGCGTTTAGTTGTGTTAGAATTTAACTAAGAAAATTTCATGAAATATCAAGAATATTTTCATGTAAAAATAGCTTGAGGGCCATTTTTTATTATATATATTCGAACTTTTTAACTTATGACAGAAATTCTAATCAATACAGCGAGATTTTTTAGAGTAATATTCGGTGAAATCTTTGGCTATAACTTCTAGCTGATCTAATACGCATGAAAATATTCTTCCGACAAACATTTTCTCAAAGGAAGCAACCTATTATCAGACAAGCTGATGATACAAAAATAGAATCTTTTACAATGTCAACATTTTGCAATTTTTTGGACAGTTAATTCGATCCCAACCCTTCATTAAGATGAAACTAATTCATGAATATTTAACTACATGTGTTCTTATATGAAGAAAAAGTAAAATACCTCATTTTTGAAAGCTTAATTAAGTTTGTTACTAGCCACTTTCCATCAAACTAGATATTATCGTGGATTGTTAATTTGGTTTCATTTATTCGCATTTATAAACATATAAGATCTTACCTTCAAGAAATTTTAGATTTGACATGCATTGAACATGTTGAAGCAGATAGAGCATATATCACATGTATCGTTCAACATTTTATCCATATTCACGTAACAAGATACATCTATGTTTATTGCTTTCTCCTTACCTTGATTCAACAATAAGACGGCAAACAGAATTGTTCTTTTTATCTCCAAAAAAGGTAAGAAAACCAGTAATATATAGCAATGCTTGCATAGAGAACAGAATCGAGTTTCTATTTTTTTTTTTTTCAGAAAGTATTTACTCTATAAGCGAAACTGAGAAATAAAATTTATTTTGCTTTTTTGCAAACATAATTGATTTTTCCGCTGCATGGAGTGTCGTTCCAACCTTTAAGCGTATACCAGTAGAGAGCACAATCCTCATTGCTCCTGTAGTCGTTTGGCTCTCCTCTTATCCAATGGCTGTAAGAAATGCCTTTTCCATTTGAAATAGATACAAACTTTCCTTCCAACTGATGATCACAAATGCCAAGCCAAACACCATATCGATATCCTGATAAAAGAGGTGAAATAATAAGTTCATGTTTATATATTTATTTCAGTAATACACTTTTATAACGAAGTACAAGGAGTCTACGATTTAGAATTTTTTATAACTGTTACCCGTTAAATAATTTTGCTTCCAATATATATTTTATACAAACGGGGAATATAAGTAACTTAACCATTAGCGTCAATTCAGTACAGGTTTGTCTGCAATAACGTGTTTTTAACGAATATGGATTATAGGATAAACATGTTTACACAAGAGGGTTATTTTTTTTAACCTGGCTTGGAGTCCATAAACGGAGAACAGAATTAACCCCCTTCCCCGCAGTCACGCATTTTAACACATATACCATTTCCTATTTCTAACACTAAATCATGCATATACCGTTTCCCCAAAATCACGCATGTTCACGCTTTATGAAAAGTTCATTTAGTCTTCAATTTTTTGCCATTTTTTTTATTTTATAATTGCTAAAATCTCATAAGATAAGAAAAGTCATTTTCTTATTCAAATATTACGTCACAATATTATTTACGCTAAACTTTAGAGAAACTTGCGTCGCGCTATAGAGTGCTTGCGTGTAAAGTCATAATTCAATGAAATGTTTATTAAGAGTGTGTTGCATAAGTGTTCAGTAAGTTGTAAAAAGTAAAATCAAAATTTTGATTTTAAATATAAGAATACGCTTTTTATATAAAATTCCAATTTAAAATTGTGAATTTGTGATCAAAAGTATATCAAAAGTCATTTGAAATTTTGACTTAAGTCTGTCCTCAGTTTATGGTCTTTGTGCCTGATATGTCTTTTTTATATGAAAAAAAGGTTTGAAAAAACATACTTCTTTTGTCCGGTTTCCAGGAAAAGTCACTAGATATGTTTTAATGAATTCTATCATTATTAAAACCCTATTATACATTTCGTCATGTAAAAGACACCATTTCACTTTATTAAAAAAGAAAATAAATTCTATATGAACAACAATTGTTTTGTTATTTTTGCATATTTTTTTTTAATATGCCTTTTTAAAACTAATTGTAACTAAGTGACAAAAGAGTTGTTTTTTTTAAAGGAGGGAGTTCATGATGTGACAATGATGTTTAAAATACCAAATAGAACAATTCAAAGATCGATAATAATTATTTTTCTTTAATTAATTTACATTTTTATAACTTTATTTTATTTTATAAATATGAGAATGGTTAAAATAAACAAGGTATCATTTAAATGAGATCTTGACCTATGGTTAGATATCCTATAACAGTTAAATTTTGTTTAATTTTATTCAAAAAAGCAGTCTAAAAAGAATTTATTTTAGATGTTTTTTCAAAAATTCCTTCATTACTTAAATTTGTAAAAAGTATTATTTCTTTCAAAATTTCAAGATTAATGAAAATGGAGACTTTTGTACATGTACGTATGTCACTAATGCAAAAGGCAATAATTGAGAGTTGGCACTACTGCGTACCTCTTATCCGACAATGTAGATCAATCCAATTTTCTTCCTCTGCGTTTTGAAGCTCTAGCAAATTAGCCCCAAGGCCATGACAGTATACCTATGAAATAATAGAAATTGAAATATAACAAGAGGTCCATGGGCCACATCGCTCACCTGAGAAGCTTTGACAATTCCGTTCTTTACCAGATTTCCCCCTCGTTATACATATTGTGACCTCACCCTACCCAACTGATCATAATTTAGATAATTTGAAATCTACACTATCATAGGATGCTTTGATTCCCCACTGTAAAACTTTGATTCCCCATTATGGCCCGCCCTACCCTTGGGGGTCATGATTAGAACAATTTAGATCTACACTACCCAAGGATGCTTCCACATAAGTTTCAACTTTTCCTGCCCAATGGTTCTTGAGTAGAAGATTTTAAAGATTTTTCCTATGTATTTCTATGTAAAACTTTGATTCCCCATTGTGGCCCGCCATACCCACAGGGGTCATAATAATTTAGAATTTACACTACCCCAGGATGCTTCCACATAAGTTTCAGCTTTTCTGGCCCAGTAGTTCTTGAGTAGAAGATTTTCAAAGATTTTTCCTATATATTTCTATGTAAAACTATTGTGGCCATGCCCACCCCCCGGGTGTCATGATTTTAACAATTTAGAATCTACACTATCCCAGGATGTTTTCAAATAATTTTCAGTTTTTCTAGCCTAGTGGTTCTTGAGAAGATTTTTAAAGATTTTTCCTATATATTTCTATGTAAAACTTTGATTCCCCATTGTGGCCCTGCCCTATCCCCGGGGATCATGATTTTAACAATTTAGAATCTGCACTACACTAGAATGCTTCCACATAAGTTTCAGTTTTTCTGGCCCAGTGGTTCTTGAGAAGAAGATTTTTTAATGACCCCACCCTATTTTTGTCTTTTCTTGATTTTCTCCCCTTGTGAGGAGACTTGGCCCCTTGATTTTAACAATTTAAATTCCCCTTCACCCCAAGGATACTTTGTACCAAGTTTGGTCAAAATTGGCTCAGTGGTTCTTGAGAAAATGTGAAAAGTTTACAGACGGACAGACGGACAGCTAGACAGACAGACAGACGGACGACGGACAAAATGTGATCAGAAAAGCTCACTTGAGCCTTCGGCTCAGGTGAGCTAAAAGTTCATTTTTGTTCAAATATTTATCTTATAAGAAAAAAAGGACAGTAGTTGCCTTAGAATTCCTATAAAAAATTATTTTTTGTAATCAAGAGAAATAAAATATGGATTTTGTCCTACCAAAGCATCTTTTAACGGAACTGCAGAAGTTGAAAAATAATAACAATTTCCGTTAAAGACTGTCCATCCTCTTCCGCAAGTATGATCTGAAAGAATTAATAAATTTTTTTTAGAAACAAAATGTTTTAAAATATCTAAGTTTCTACTTCGAAATTTGAAAACTAGTCTAAGAAGGTCTCACCTTTACAAAAGTTTTGAAATTCTGATGCATAAAAAAAGCTTAGAAATAATTCAGCTTTAATTCACTGCTACATGTGTGTTGAAAGATATATTATAAATGTATTTCCGACTATTTTGTTAGTCTATTAATGCAGTATGAAGGAAATATTCCAACCATTCAGCGATGCCGATTTTTAATCAATGTAAGAAATATTAAATGACCCTTTAATCTTTAAGATTAGTATGAAAAGGATAACAAACCTCTATAAGATAGAAGTGAATATCAAATAAGTATTATTTTATTTCAATTCTGGTATACGAGGGGTATTTGAAAAGTTATGAATAATTATTCGCTGTATTTTATTCAACAAAAATATCACAGATACAGCTTATCACAGTCCTTCAAAATATTCTCCTTTAACTTCTACACATTTTTTCAGTCTTTGAATCCATTTCTGAAAAGCCGATTTATAGGCCGCTTTAGGGATACCCTTCAGACACTGGTATAGCGCACTGCCTACAGCCTAGCGGCTTTCAAATCGGCGTCCTCTTAAGGCATCCTTGATGAGTGGATTCAGCCAAAAGTCACAAGGGGATAGATCAGGGCTATATGGAGGGTGCGGTAAAGTTTTAATGCTCATCTCTGCCAAATATTCGGTAACAATCGAGGCTTTGTGGGCTGCTGCGTTGTCATGTAATAAATGTATGCCACGGGTTCCAGTGCGAGGGCGGGTCTCTTCATAATAGACACGACTTTGGTTAATACTTTTTCTTTGTAAAATTTAGCAGTGACACTGGTAGACTCTGGGACAGGAATTTGTACTACGGGTCCCTTGGAATTGAAGAAAATAGCGTACATAACCTTCCGCACTGTGCGGCTACGACGTGCAATTTGTGGTCTGTCCTTGACGTCAGTCACCCAAACTTTATTATTTCGTTTTATTTCTGATTCGAAAAAGGAAATCCAGGTTTCGTCACCAGTGACAATTTTGTTTAAACGCCTAAAATCGCAATGTTCATATTTTTCTAATAACTGCCGACAAATTTCTACCCGTACCCTCTTCTGCTCATTTGTCAGAATATGGGGGACCCATCGAGCACAAACCTTTTTCAACATTAGTCTGTGTTTTAATATTTCAAATACTGCTGACGAATTGATCCCAGTGAAAGATGAAATGTCATTAACGGTGTATCTCGCATCAGTTTCAATGATCTGTTTCACAGTGTCAATTTCATTTTTGGTGATGGCAGTTGCAGGTCTTCCACTACGGGGGTCATCTGCTAGCGTCTGCCGACCGTCTTGAAATCGACGTACCCATCTCAGAACAGTTGAATAGGAGAGAGCAGAAGGTCCATAAACTTTTTTCAAATCAGCTTTAATTTCTGTTGGGTTATAACCGAGAAGCGCCCTTCCTTTACAGTATGCCCTTTGCTCTAAATGATCAGGAACTTTACTTGCCATTGTTTTGTCTATAGTGTCGCAGACGTCAGTTACGTCACATGTCAAGATCTCGGGTTCGCGTTATTTGGAAAATTTAATTTATTCACATTTTGTAGAAAATTTATTAAATTTTAATTTTTTTCAATCAATTTTTCTGAAAAGCTATGTTAAATAGTTTTTATTATTTAATATTCATTAATTTCCAAATGCCCCTCGTACCTGTAGTTCCACATCATTATCTTTTCTCATTTAAAAGTAAATTTCTTTCTACAACATTATAAATGTGTTCTTTCGAGAAATGTTCATGCTCAATACATACTCACCATATTAATGATTGTAAATTTACAGAAATTAAAAATAATTTTTTTTTCTTAAATTATGGTTATTTCGCATTGTATCTCATTAAGAACCTACCGCCGTGGCCTACAACTGTCCTCAAGCAAAACGCAATTAGGAACAAGAACTGAATATTGTAAACTCCCATTTTTCTCCCGAGACTATTGTACGCATGTGTGACTGATACGAAATATTTATATCAAATTTTTAAAAAAATTGTCCTTTTTTTTATAATAGTACTTTAGATGATATTGATACGTCTAACATGTTACGCTGTGTATCATTTATTGCGTGTTACAATATGCCTCACGTACAATTTTACGTATAACTTTCCTATAAATATAGAATTTGATACCACGTTGCATTGTTGTAAATCAATTTCATCAATGCA